CCGGGCCCGGAGCTGGGGCCGCCCCGGGCGGGACTCGACGGGCGCGGGGTTGGGGCGCCCGGCCTGGCCCCGGGCGGCGCCTAGACCAGCGGGGCCCAAGCTACGGGAGTCTGGGACGCTTTGCCCTAGACGGCAGCGCGCCCCTGCGTCCCCGGCCCCGGTCCGGGAGTGGCCACACGAGCCCCGAGCGAGAGGCCGAAGGGCCCCCACGCCCCGTGCCCCAAACAGCGGGTCATCGGAGCTGCCACTGCGGGTCGGACCACGGCTCCCAGTCTCCGGTGTCCCTGTGGCAGGGAGGGAGGCAAAGTGGGTTTCTCCCAGCCACTCTTTACACCCTGGTTTGCAGCCTCCAGCATTTCGGGTCTAGGAAGGTCTGGTGCAGAGGCTGCGCCCCTCGCTGGTCTGGCTCTGGGGTGATTGCCTTGGCTTGGCCTGGTGTCACCACCTCCCCCCGTGGCTGGCCGGATCACGAGAGTCACTGTGACCGCAGCCACACGGCAGGACCACTTGGCATCGCACTCTCCTCACCTGTGTAAGGGGCAAAGCACCACTCCTCCACCTGCCTGGAGGCTGGGAAGGCTGTTTCTAAAGCTGGAGTGTAAAACTTGCTAGCAAAATGCAAAGATCTGGAGTGAGACAAACACGGGGGTGCCAGGTTCATTTAGTGCTTAGTTTTAAGATGAAACAAACAAACAGAAAAGACTCCTCGAGATCGGTCCTGGGTTTTAGAGGATGGCTTTAAAAGCTGCGCACAGATAACAGAACCACATGGCAGGTGACAGAAGAAGCAGCAGTGGCCTCAAGTCGCAGCAAGGCAAGTTGAGGTTAGGTATTAGGACAAACTTTCTTGCTGGGAAGGTAGTAAAGAGCTAGAACAGGCTACCCAGAGAGTTTGTTGTGGTTTGCAGGGAGATAAAGCTTTTGTTGCGATGATTTAGGTGGGATGGTCCTGCTTGAAGCAGAGGGTTAAACTGGATGACTTCCTGATGTTCCTTTGAGTCCTCTTTTTCTATATTCTGTTATTTATCCTTTCCTTTAAAGTTCATGGACAAATAGGAAAAGTAGTTTTCTAAAGCTTATGTTAGTCTTTAAAATCCCATGCAACAAGAAGTACAGCTGCTTGCTTGTTTCATGTATTCTGGAAGAACTGAGCTAATTTTATCTACTGTGCAAAAACCAGAGGATACATCTCTTTTTCAAAGGCTTACTGCACCATGCATTAAGTACTACTCTTCCTCCACCACAGCAAGGAATCCACTTTAGGTCCGGTGTTTTAGTTTCCTGCTTTTGGATGGCTCATATTAACAAGCTGATTAAAGCAGTGGGGACTACTTGCAGCAGCCACTAGATTAAGTTCTGAAATTTCTCTTTCTTCATCTTCCAGATTGCCAAAATGATCTGAATTTTGGAATTCAGTTTAAAAAGTTACCTCTTTTGGCAAGCCAGCTGTGTGTGGTCATTTATGTAGATTATGTGGATTACGGTTTGATTTCTTGATCAATATTTGTTGACACAGAAATAACTTGTCTTACTTTCTTTTAACAGTGGGTGAACAACCTGGTAGATTTAGTGTAACATGGCTCAACTATTTCACTATTAATCTTGGAATGTTTCATTGCTAGTAATGTTTCATTAACATCCTGATTCAGCAAAGCATTTAAACTAGCATGTTCTTAAGATCTTCTCTACTGAGGAAAACAATTAAACATTTGAGTCTAAACCCTTTAAAATGTGTTTAAGCATTTTCCCAGGCTGGCACTTGATGATGTACTTAAGTGTTAAATTCAACAGAAATCAAGCACCTAAAAAACGCAAGCGTAAGTCCATTGCTGAACTATGGCTAATAAGAGAACACAGCCCAAACTGGTATTGTGAAGGGGATGATGTAGTATAGCCTTGGGGTCTGAAATGCAGGCCCTAAGAAAAACAATGACAGGAAACAATTGAAGGATATTTCCCCTCCAGCCCATGCACTATTAGTTTGAATGTAGTTGCTCTTTGTTTTATTCCTACTTTTTCTAAGAAAACATCTTGTCCCCCTGCTGATTCCTCATGAGCCCTATTTCATTTCAGAACATCAACATGTGGAATATTGCTTTTAGCTTTTTTTTTTCAAATTACTATTCTTAGTGAATTTTAGAATTTATTTCAATTTAGCTTTTTGAAGCAAAAATGGTGCGGAAGCCACTTCATGCTAAAGTCAAGGTTTAAAACTGTCATGATTTGTTTCAGCTCCTCCCACTTACCCTTGCTCACAACCATCTCTTTCTATCTCCAGCCTCAGCACCTTATCTCATCATAATTTCTTTCACCCATGTAACCCAAGAAACATGGGTTATTTTTTGTGCTAGTCTGTGACAAAAATCCCACATTGCCCCACTGGGCATGGTATGACATCACCTACCTGTCACTCAGAATGTGGCTTTGAGCAATCGCATCCATTCAGTTTTGGTTAATTTCACAATATTCTGATTGTTTTTCACAGGACATTTAATGGGGAAAAAGAGCACTGAAGATTTGCCTTATGTTTATGAAGAAGGAAACAAGAATTCATTTTCAGCATTACCTGAAAATATCAAGCAGCTAGAAGATTACCTTCAATGGGAAGAAACATTTAAGTACTTGCTAAGGCTGTTAGAAGGGAATGAAAACAGAAACGCTCAGATCCTAAGAGAAGAGCTTCCATGGTACACCAAGAACACCTGGGAGACAGATGACAACAGCAGCCCAAAAAATGTAAGTTTAAAATAAGGAGGTACAGTATTTTTTTTACTGAACATAATCAAATTAATCTCTTCAAACTCTGGGCTTGTTGGTAGAACTGGTGGAGTACATGGTTGTGAACAGTGAACTTTATGAATCCAGCTCTAATTCCTGATCACAAATTGTCAGCAAATTGCCAACCTCCTGAATGTGTCTGTTATTTAAAGGAACTCAGCAAACATTTTGCAAACTTAAAATTTTGCAAAATGTTTTTTGTGAGTGTTCTGTCAATTAGTACTGTGTTGTATGGTCCTAGTGTCTATATGCCCCAGTTACTGTCAACCACTATACAAGCACAGAACCAGACTTGATTTCTGCCCTCAAGAGTTTCTAGAGGAATTTAAAAACAGTGTAGCAAACAGTAGCAAGGAAAGATGGGGATGAAAGGTAATAAGATCCCATCATAGTTAAATATGTGAGCTCAGAAAGCTTGACTCCTTTGTATTTAAAAATAAATAAATGAAGCTAGCTATTGCCAGTTGCTGCCCAGTCTGCCCATGGTTAGCCCCTGGCTTTCTCTGCTGTGGGCTTCTGGCTAGAACACTGAACTGGCACTGAGGAGACCAAGTCATTTTTTCTCTCTGTGCTAAGTTTCCCCACCTGTAAAATGGGAGTAAGGACAGTGGCCATATTCCTGAATGCTGGGAGATCTACAGATGATCAGTGCCATAGAAGAGCCAAATGGGATTCACTTTCCAATACATGGACTAGTTAGAACAACACTGAGAACTTAGCAATGATGTTATTGCTATAGAATCCCACAGGGGCCACATCGAACGATTACTGCTGCCTAGTGACTTTTCTAAGTGTTTTGTGAAAGTGTGGCATAAAGAAACTGGCATCACTAGGCTGAAATCCTGGTCCATTGAGGTCCAATGAGCACTTTTTACACTCTGGTCAGCATTGTAGTTATGCCACAAGTAGCAGCCATCAATCTTGTGCCCCCTCTCAGTCACCAGCCAAAGCTGGTGCCCTGCTCACCCACCCCTTATTAGGTTACTGAGGTCCCTGGAAAGTTTATCATTTACTTGAATGACACTAAGATTTCACCCGATGATTCAAGTCCTTGAAACTGGGGATGAATTTCACTCATACATCTCATTCTATATCCATAACCAAAAAGACTCTGATACAACAGTATAGAAACTATGACTAACACAATATAAAAAATAAAATACTTATTTTGGTTCACTTATGTTATTTTTGGTTCTGCAGCATGTAGCCTAGCAATAAAATTTATATTGCATCGGTTTTAATATATGCAGTTTCCTCTCTGCTGAGTAAAATGAAGAATAGCTTTACTTATAATAGTAGCTTGCATGAAATCATACATATTCAATTATTAAGAGCTAAATTTTACCTCAGTGAAAATCCATATGTATGTACTTTTATCCTAGATTAAGAACTATACCTACATTATTCTTATTATTCTGTGGTCATAGATAAAACATATCCGGGGATTAATGACAGCTGTTGGCTTATGCACCTCAAATTCTCCAGTGAATGTTGAAAATTTGTATGACAAGGTTTTTTTCCATGTGATTAAAATCCATGGAGCCAGGCTACTCTGTTTTGCCTTACCACCTGTGAGCCGTTCCACATGGTCATTTTTCTATCTGAGCCCTGGAATACCTTACCCCCATGAAGCAAGCTCATGCTCTGCATTTCACTATGCCACTGTGCAAAGAAACTGCCAGAAACAGTTAGGGGTTGATCCAATACTTACTTAAGTCAGCAGAAATTTCTCCATTAACTTCAGTAAATAATGGATCAGGGCTCAAAGTCAAACTGTACTTCTTTTTTGAGACCTGCTTTTTTGGCTATTGAAGCCCTAAGAGTCTAATGTGCTTCACTTTTTAGAAGGCCTTTAAAATGTGCCAATCATTTATGATATGATTAAACAATAATAACTTATTAAGAACAAGAAGCTAGTAAGATACTGGCATATTACTTTGAAAGCCAAGGATGCTTGGAGCATAAGAGTTGTAATTTTCAGACTTTTTCAAAACCCTTCTGAGGGCAGACTTTGGGTTCGTAGACTTTCCTGTTTGAGTTACCCAGATTTTTTATAGTCAACACTATATTGGAATGTGATGCTGTAAAATATGTAGGTTAATGAAGGGGCTCAAATACCATAGTAATGAGTGGGATGTCCAAACCAAGATAGAAGATAGTCATGGAGAACAGCTATACTACCTCTAACCATATTAGGGGCATTACTGTTAAAAACAACCCCTCCACCAACTTGCTTTGCTGCATGCATGCCAACTACCAAAAAAAGAACACAAACATAATGCAGCTGTCATTGGAGCAGTCTTGGGAACTGCGAGGGAGCCTGAGAGTGGGCTGGGCGCACCCTTAGCTCATGCCAGTAAACGCCTCCAGTATATTTTTTCAGCATTTGGCATACACAGAGTGGGGCTCACAGGATGGGGAATGTTTTCAAGACACTGTTTCCTAATACAGCCACCAGAGTCAGTAAGGACATGCTCAGGCAAAGTTGCCATTGGCTCCCATGGCTACAAGACCGGGCCTACAAGTGGAACTGAATGCCAAGTCTTACTGCACTGGAATTTGAAACAGACACCTATTCTTCAGAAAAAGCAAGATACTTAATCCCAGTCATGGTGGATTAATATTTGCTGCTGGGTTCAGCTCCTGAAATGTGAATAAAGAAGGGTGAACTGTAGGCTGTATGCTCAGACAGAAGGAATGTGTTCTGCGATCATCCCATGGTCAACATATTACAAATCTGTAATTACAGAACACTGTACATATACTTATTGAAATGTTAGCATTGCAAGGGTCCAACTCTGAATGTGCATGACCATAGATTGCCATCTACTGATTGCAAATAAGACATGGTGTGTTGGGAAGACATTTATGTTTCCTAATTCTCCACATTGATAGCTGAGCCCCCCCTTCCCGCAATCTAACAGCACAGACAGTCTCTATATTTCCTGTTGGACAGGAGATAGCAACTGTATATGGGACCTTATTGTTGAGTGTACTTTTGGCATGCAGGAATATCACCAAGTTATCTTTTAACTGTTTTTTTCCTACAAAATGGTATGATACTGGTATTTTCTACTGATTCCCACAGTGTGGTAAGCATTTTCCAAACATAAAGATTCAGGGTCCACCCTGAATAACTTGCCAGCCAAAAGCCTGGCACAGGGTGGTCAAAGCATCACATCATACAAACAGTTAAAAGGCACAAAGGACCTAGGTTCTATCCTGATGCTATAAAAACGGTGGGGATTCAAATTAGCTTGGTTCCCTGGGCTCATGCAGGAGAGATACAGACCCACCTCCAGTAATAGGGCAAGCAGCTTCAGCTCAGGGAGCTGCAGGAACTAAGACAGTCATTGCTTACTCTGCTGCCTTCAAAATGAGTCCTCAAGAAGGTTCTGTACCCACAAATTTGGTGGCAGGCCCTGTCCCCGCTCACGCTGCTGCCAAATTCCCAGCCTCAGTAGGAGCCCCAGTGGCTGGATAACATAGTTTTATGGGCCAGATTCAGTCCTCAAGCCGTATGTTTGACACCCAGGTATGAGATATTTACAACTCAGACTGTTTCTTCTATTGTTTGTAGAATAGCATCTATGAACCCTGATTGCTTTCATCCCATTCAGGCCCCTACTGCTTAATTTATTTATTTTCTACCAATGTTGCTTGAAATCTCTCATGGCCACTATTGTGTCCTTGTCACCATCCTTTTCTGTTTCTATTGTTGCCTCCTCCACATATTTGTCCCTTTTTGATCAGGAAATCCACAATGCCCATTCTTCACTTTTATTAGCTTTAATGTCATGTCCTAACAATTCAGCCTTACTTATAGTTCCTCCAAGGTTGTTCTGGGTTTTTTTTTAATTGTTAAGTTATTCTTCCTCAGTTAATTTCAAGCAAATCAATGATAAATCTCCTGTCCTCCAAACACAATGAATTCATACTGCAACAAACTTGGATTGGCTATAGAAATCTAAACAACGCTAGGCCTGTTCTAAAATTTTGCTCAAGTGAAATTTAAAGCAAACTTTAAACTCTTTCTATAAACTTGGTTTCTAATATTATTTTGATGTTATGTAAATGGGACAACAGAGAAAATAATTAGGGATTATTATTTGTCTAATTCTCTGGTTGTCAGTGAATCAGTTAACCAAGACAAATGTGGCCATTAAAAAAGCTTATTAGAAGTTTATTTGCTCTTCGGATACAGACAACAGCCATATGCTAAGTTTATTGAATCAGCAGGTGATTTTGGACAGGACTGTTCTACTAATATTATTTAACTCTTTTTTTTATTAGATGATGGAGTATCTGCTTCACGTTAAGAATATGAAGGAAAACACTCCAAGCTGAAGTGAAGATCTCCCAATCTTAAAGGAACAGAATAATTTCCTTAAGAGACTATGTTTCACAAGCACTTGATTGTATCAGATAAACAACAAGGTTTCCTTTGTGTAAACAAGATTTCTTTTGTGTAAAATACCCAAACACTTGTATTGTATGGTCCAACACTAATCTTGCTTTTTTATTTTTTCCCTCCAAAGCTGCATTTTCTTGTTTAAAAGGCTTTGCTGTCCAGGAAGGGTCTTCCAATTATATAACTTCTCTGTCTATTCAGGTCATCTTTTAGGTCAAAACTACATAACATTTCAACATTCCCAATAAATAAGAATAAAATAGCCAAGTTTATGCTTTTAATTAAAATTACACACTGGAGAGTTACTGTACTGTACTTTGTAACAACCAAATAACAGGGCTTCATTCCGTGTTATGGACAGTCATCAACTGATATAAATCAGTGTGGTGCTGTTGAATCCCAGGATGCTACGTCGATTGATACGTGTCAGAATATGACTCATTACTTCCATTTACATAAAGAATTATGCTTGAACTGAGCCACATCCAAGACTTCCTTACATTGATGTATAAGACTCCAACACAATGAAAAGGAGGCCTAGGAGAAACCTGCGGAGACAGCTCTGGTGTGACATTCACAAAGGAACTTCAGAACAGAACATGGAAGGGAAGTGGGCAAGTCGCACACAAAGGTGGGTTCAGCTGGGCATGGTACAGCACATTTCTCCATGGGCATTTATACACATACTTTTTCTCACTGCAAAGCGCTGGAAATCCAGTGTATCAGAGCAGACTCAATTAATTGAGTCTGTTACATACGTGAGCTGATGGGCACCGTGCTGCATCGCTTATAGTTCTATATGCAGCAAAATGCACATCAGCGCAGAGAAGAGAATGTGGCAGTGGTGTGGTCATTCAGACTACAGCCATTTTCTGCACACTGATATGCATTCTGCTGCTTATATAACTGTGGTGCATGCATATGTAAAAATGTCCTATGGTCCTAACTCAGCATGTAAGGGGAGCACTTCTTATTGGAAGCACACCTTGGAAAATTAGCTCCATAGCCCTAAAATCACTTTGCTGGGGTTCCACTCTGGCTGCACAAAGATCTTTGCTCACTTTGCTCCATGACAGCAAGCCTAGAAACAAGACCAAGGAGTTACACAAGAGATGGCCCAACTATAGAAGGAAGACCTGATACCATAGGGTAAAAACAAGTTGTGTCCAGACATATCTGTGAAATACCCAAAATAACATTTTGTTTCCCAGCTAATATAACTTAATTGCCATTTAAGCCTAGTGTGTAAATGGCTGGGCCGTGCCTGTTTTGATGCTATCATATCCCAGCCTAATCAGGACCATATCAAACCAATGTCTGTTTCTAGCTATAAATTCCCACAGGAGCTTTGACCAGGTCCAAAGGAGTCCAAATACTCAAAGCAAACTCACTCTTCAGTTCACTACTTCTCACTCAGAACAACTTGAATAACTACAGAGTTATTCCTTGTGAAAGCTAGAAATGATGCCATACTAAAGAACGGACAGGCATTAAGGGGGACTTAATTGCATCCACTCTCAGAAATGAAACACCTATTGTTTCACCTTGCATGTAGCATGGACTGTAGCTAAAAAGCAGGCTCTCTCTGAAATAAAAATACAGCAACATTTCCTATTCCCCAGCCTCTCTCTCCCAGCACTTATTTATGCTTTTATAAACAGAGAGTGTCAATGAAATAAATATCTTCTTCTGCTAAGCACCCATTGAAACCTGGCTCAAGGCAGGAGTGCATGGCTGGATTCTAATGGATTTCGGATTTTTAACCACTCACAATCACCTTAAACGAAATGTAATTTTCAGGACCTAACCTTAGAAATTGTCCAGAGGCCAAAAGCAGGAAGCGCATGAGTACAGAGGTTTGGTTACTGCAGAGAGGGACCTAGTATCGTAGAATGCCTGTTGTCACCTTAGACTTCATCACTAAGCTGAATTCTAATTAGCTTTAGGTTGAGATTGTTTTCATTTCTTCAGCCAGTCAGAAACCCCATCTTATTCATAAAACTGATTGATTACAGGCTGGCTTCTGATGCAGATGCAGCTTCTGTTGGGACTCTCAAGCCAATTTAAAGCTATTAATAAATCCCAGTCTCATAAACAGTTTTCAGTAACACTGAAAACACAGAATTTTCAGAGGACTTCACAAATTGTAACTCGGCATGTCTACACATTCATTAACGTGCTTTTGGCAATGTGCATTAAATTTAGTACCTCCATTGTAAGGTACTAGAAAAATGTGTATGAGTCTATTTTAATGTGCATTAGCTAAACAGCACTTTTTTTGATGCTGTAATGTGCATTAAAATAGGCTAACAAGCATTAAAGTGCATATGTAGATGTACCCACTGATCTTCAAAACAGTCCTCTATTATTAACCCCATTGGATGTTGAACTTTGTTCGGCTATAGCATCTGCTAGCCAAATGTTTTATAAAAAGGGCACCCTTATATGCCAACTTCTTCCTGAGCCACCTTGAAGATGAGTTTTTAGAAAAATGTATAATCTAATCCATTTGATACCCAAAATACAAAGCTGGAACCTTCATCAACTAGAAGCAGCGTGTACTGTACATTTGCTTACTGATTTTCAGTACAATTTCAATAACATTTGAAATTCCATCACATTTTATTTGGAATATTTCAACTTTCTAGATAGCATCGTCCACATTTAGAATGACACCCTACAAACAACTGTGTAGTGTGTACCCCTCCCCGCCCACACTTGCTTCAAAAAAAGTAATAACTATCTCAACCATACCAAAAAAGCTGCAGTCGATAGCCAGGCCCTCTGATACTGCCACATGTGCTCTGAGTAGACTATTTATGACCACCAGCGATGACACTGCACCAGAGAAAGAGATTGTATCTTTGAATGAGCTACTCAGATCACCTCCAAAACCCACCAACTGCTCACCTTGGTTGTCACATACCACTCCATGCTGGAACCTATGAAAAGATCTTTAAACTATTAAAACCTATAATTTAAGAGCATCATTAATTGAAAGTAATATTACATCCATATTGGGCTTTCCAATAACAACCCAAACGTGTCAAGTTCATCATCAGAAGCAAACTCTGTCCTGATCGATAAACACCAATCAGAGCAAGACCTTGCCTGAAAACAAAGGCAAAATCTGCCAGCACATCTCCCCTATCACCACAACCAAAATCCTCCATAACAAAACCATCAGAATCCAGGCATTCTACATGGGCTTATCACAAAATGTGGCATATGTCATCCAATGCACAAAATACAACTGTTCAGCCACTGTGCTCCAAAAAGGACTCCCAAATAAAAATGACAAAGGACAGAAATACCCCATCACCACTGAAAAAACACATTTTGTAGCACAAGCACTCGATCTCTGACGTCCCAGTTCTTGTCCTCAAGGGAAATCTTCTCAGCACCTTCATAAAACAACCCTGGGGATAAAAATTCATACTTTACTGGACACCAGAAACCATGTTCTTAACATGGACAATAGTTTTGTGGTTCATTATAACTTTCCTGCTCCTCCTCTTAACTTATTTGTTATTTGAAGGTTATGTGTCCCTTGCCTTGAACGATCGTACTTTTTTCATAATTAGGTTTATCTATGGCAACTATTCTTTACGTGGTCTGTAAGCACTCCCAAGAACTCTTTTATGTTCCACAGGTTTATTGCCCACTGCCACTTTTAAGCGATCAATGTAATTAGTATGATGTGGTTCGACAACAGTAGCTGTTTTAACTGGTACACAGCTTCTGCTCTGTTTCTTTCCCAGAACACGGAAGGGCACTTTGTGCTTGAAAGTTTGTCTAATATCTCTCTCAACTATAAAGTTGGCTCAATAAAAGATATCATATCATCAAACAAAAGCGTGCTTCCTTCATTTTCCCTGGACCTATACCATGGCTATAAGAACATTACGATTTTCCTATCACAGGAATTCAGCCATGGCAATAGTAACAGCTTTGATGAAATCTTCTCAGACTCCAGCAGATGGTGCACCCTGCCAAAAAATGCATCATTGAAACAGGATTTGGGTGATTTTGTGGCTTTGAGTTTCTTGTTCACTTCTAAGAGCAAATGTTTATAACGGTGATGATGAATGGAAGCACCTGGACAAAATGAAGAGGACTGAGTCATTTGGTCTCCTGGAATACCACAGCTGGGACTGAACCTCAGTTATAAAATGCTAGGAGACCCAGTTCCAACCTACAGATTGTGAATCAACGTGTGCCCCAAGATAACAAGTCAGTTGTATATATTTTCTAACTGAGACATGAATGATTTTGACACACAATGAAAACATATTATATTTTGATATGTGGAGATCCTAGTTAAAGATCCAGTGATTTCTCTGTTTCTGGCACAGGGGCTTGGACCTACCTTAAAGCTACCAATGGCTTTGGGGGGTGGGGGGCATTAAATAAACATGCTCCTCTACCACTACTCATTGACAGAGAGAGTTATGGGAGACAATCTTCCCAACATGAAGTCTGTTTTAAGATATTTCAAAATACCTATTACAGTGCTATAGATTCTGCCCAAATGTTTCTGAAAAAAAAACTTTGGGAAAAACCCCCTTAAAGAACAAATATGATAATCACATTGTATTGTTAATTGACAATTGTTAATTGTTATTATGTTCTTGTATTGTTATACTGTATGTTCATTCTGTGATTTGCAGATAAAGTTAACAGGTGTTAGCTGCCTGACCAGTGTATAATTAACTGGTCACATACCACTCACTTTACTCATATGAAGTAAAGGTTACACAAGTGAGCATGATTATCTGCGTCTAATCTGCCTAAACAAAACAGTATTCTTTAGGTCTGAAAGAAAAATGTTTGTGTTAAAAATACCCCTAAAGAGTGGTTAAGGCATGATACAACTGGTCGCTGTTGAAATGTGTGATTTGTATCTTTTCATACCAAATAAATGGTGGGCCACATGGACTAGATGACAAACTATTATCCCAATGCAAATATGTCACTGATACGTAAAACACCCAGACTAGTATATTTTATCTATGACAAGTTATGCAATTCTAATTCCACTTTTAATTTCCTTTGAAGCAGTGCAATGCTGATCTCTTCATAGGACAGTGTTAAACCAAGATAAAGTCTAACTCATGTCCAAATGCATATCTACAGGACTCCCCAACAAAGTTCTGCAGGGTTGTTTTTTTTCTTTTTCCTTAAGCAAAACTCCTATTGGGAGGAACAGGCACCAAAGTCAGAGAACGCATTCACTAAAATCAGCTAAAAGTTAGCTTTATCTTCCTAAGTGTCATGGACCAGACCTCAAGATGGTCTA